TGTGCCTCTGTTTTTAAGTCTATGCGAGACTTTCTAAGGGTCTTCCTTAAAATGAATCCTGGCTAGGTAGGATACTTAGGTGGGATGCAAAGCTCTGCTACATGTGCTCCCACCTGGCACCATAGGTAGGGTCCTCCAAAGTCCATCCATCAGCCATTTTCATACCTTAAACCCTATGTGACTTTCTATGTATATACTGTATAGATATTCCAGTCTGACCACCTGAGCTGGGCAGTGTGGTCAGACACCTTGGTGTTAGTCTGGAATGGTATATAAACTGAATGAAAAACATCAGGCTTGGAATGGGTGTGCAGTGTTTTTTTTGTCTGAGTCCTAAGAGTGTTGGCTGGTCAAGGAACTGGAAGTCATGTCCTCCAGGCTTGACAGAAGGACTACCCCCTTACAAACTCTATCCTATATATTCAGGGAAGTAGAGGAAATCCTAAGTGGAGAGAGCAAGCCATGAATGCTGTAAAATGCTAATGATGAAAAATACACAGGATGAGTCCACCCCTCTGCTATTACCTGCTCTCAGTAAGCATGGTTAGATTTATAGACCCACCACTCCTTATATGAGAATGGGGGCAGAAGTGTGTCTCCATAGAGGGTCTGTACACCTGAACCCTGTCTTTGTGACTACCATAAGCAGTGTCATCAGGCATTATTATATTTATTATTAGCTTTAGCTAGGATCTTCTTCTAGTAGCCAGCCAAGTTCTAAGCAAGTCAAACAGAGAAGAGCCAAGTGGGCTCATTGTCTAGATGTTTTAGCCACACACTTAAGGGCCTAGTCTAGCCAGAGTTCATATGGTACAATTGCATACATCTTAGTAACATAAGAGGCTCCATTTGGTCTTAGGACATCAGCAGTCCAATCACTGTCATAATGCTAGGTGCTTCCTCTTGCCGTGGGTGAAGTATGGACTGACTTTTAGAACCAGAAGTGTCAAAGTATTACTGGACTCAGGTGGAGTGGGGTTCTGCATGGCAGATCCAGCTGTTTTTGAGGCTTCCTGCTAATGCTATTATTGGGACATTGTCTTGCCAGGCTACTCCTGTCAGACTTACAAAAATTAATGACCCTCCCAAATCTCTAAACCTTAGTTATCATAGGAAAGGAGAAACTCCCACCCTACCTAGTGAAGAATGGGATGTTTTTTGGAAACTGAATAAAAATTAAAGCTTCAACCTGCAATATTGAATGAGGCAGAGAGCATCAAAAGATGGGAGGTATACACAGAGTCACTACCAAAAAGAAATGGTACATGTTCAGCCATTTCAAGAAGTGGCATATGATCAAGAGCCAGTGATACTGAAGGAAGAAGTCCAAGGTGCATTGAAGGCATTGGCAAAGAACAAGGCACAGGGAATTGATGGAATACAAATCGAAATATTTCAACAAACTGATGAAGCATTGGAGTCACTCATGCATCTATGCCAAGAAACTTGGAAGACAACTACCTGGTCAATTGACTGGAAGAACCCCATAATTGTGCTCATTCTAAAGAGAGGTGATCCCACGGGATGCAGAAATCATCAGACAATATCATTAATATTACACGGAAGTAAAATTTTGCCAAAGATAATACAAAAACAGTTGCAACTATACATTTGCAGAGAACTTCCAGAGGTTCAAGCTGGATTCAGACTAGGGCATCAAATAAGGGATATAATTGCTAACATCAGGTGGATCTTGGCTGAAAGCAGAGAATACCAGAAAGATGGTTACCTGTACTTTATTGATTATGCAAAGGCTTTTGATCGTATGGATCATAATAAGCTATCAACACCACTGAGAAGAATGAGTATTCTGGAACACTTAATTGTGCTCTTGAGAAATCTGTACATAGAAAAAGAGTCAATTGTTTGAACAGAACACTGAATGGTTTAAAATTAGGAAAGGTGTGTGCCAGTGTTGTATTCTTTCGCCATACTTAGTCAGTCTATATGCTGAGCAAATAATTCAAGTAGCTGGGTTATATGAAGAAGAACATGGCATCAGAATTGGAGGAAGACTCATTAACAACCTGTAATATGTAGTGTAGTGGTTACGAATGGGGCTGCAAACCACAAGGTCAGCAGTTCGAAACTACCATCTGCTCCGCGGGAGAAAGATGAGGCTTTCTGCTTCCGTTAAGATTTATAGCCTCGGAAACCCTGTACAGGGTCGCTATGAGTCAGAACCAACTCCACGGGACATAACAACAACAACAATAATATGCAGATGATACAACCTTGCTTGCTGAAAGTGAAGAGAACTTAATGATGAAAATCAAAGAGCACAGCCGTCAGTATGGGTTGTATCTCAATGTAAAGAAAACAAAAATCTTCACCACTGGACCAATAAACAGTATCTGTATAAATGTAGGAAAGATTGAAGTTGTCAAAGATTTCATTTTGCTCAGATCAACAATAAACACTCATGGAAGCAGCATTCAAGAAATCAAATGAGGTATTGCATTAGGCAAATCTACTGCACAAGACCACTTTAGAGTATTCAAAAGCAAAGATGTCAATTTGAGGACTAAGGTACTCCTAAACCAAGCCAACATATTTTCAATAACCTCATATGCATGTGAAAGTTGTACAGTGAATAAGGAAGATCATAGAAGAATTGAGGCATTTGAGTTTGGTGTTGGAGAAGAATATTAAAAGTTCTATGGACTGCCAAAAGAACAAACCAATCTGTGTTGGAAGAAGTACAGCCAGAATGCTCTTTGGAAGCCAGGATGGCGAGACTTTATCTCTATTACTTTTGACATATTATGAGGAAGGACCAGTCTCTGGAGAAGGATATCGTGTTTGGTAATGTGGAGGGTCAGAGAAAAAGAGGAAGATCTCCAGTGAGATGGATTAGCACAGTGGCGACAGCAATGGACTCAGGCTTAGCAGCGATTGTGAGGTTGGCATGGGACTGGGCAGTGTTTTCTGTTGTGCATTGGGTCACTATGAGTCAGTGCTGCCCAGTGGCACCTAACAACAATAACAACAATATGCATATATATGTTCATGGTGGTGATGCATATATGTATAACATATATGTATATAAGGAGAGGTGGAGTGGGAATGGAAGGACAGAGATAAAGGGAGAGAGTGGTTTATATCAAGGAATTGGCTCACACAGTTATGGAGGCTGGCAAGTCCCAATTCTGGGTCAGGGGTCATACTGGGGGCTTTTCCTCCCTGGGTTTCAGGGGCATGTAGTTTCAATTGGCAGGTCAGGTGACAGGCTGTTGGCTCATGGGGTTGTGAAAGCTGGTGAATCTCAAAATCACTGTTCAGACAACAGGCTGCCAGCTCAAGTCCCAAGAACCAGAGGTTGATGATGCTGAGCTAGATGCAGGATCCAGAGCACGTCATACACACACCCTTGCTCCAAGGAAACGTTCCTTAAATCAAAGTAAGGATGTGACTTTAGTAATAGTGTGGCTTCAATAAGGATGGGACTTGAGTCATGCCTTCTTGTAAGGCTTTCACTCGAGGTACATCTCACACTAATCCTGCCTCATTAATGTATGTTGTTGTTGCTGTTAAAGTGCTGTTGAGTTGGTTCTGACCCATAGTGACCCTGTATAGGGTTTCTGAGGAGTGGCTGGTGAGCTTGAACCACCCACCTTACTGTTCAAACTGACCTTTTGGTCCAGCACATTTTCCTAATTTCCAGCACATAAAATGGATAATTATATAATATCACAATGAAAGATGATTATATAATATCATAAATGGCCTAGTCAAGATGACACATAATATTGACTATCTCAAGGTCATACCAGAGTAGAGTGGGTCTTAATCCCTTCTGAGTGAAATTATATAAAAGTGAAGAACAGACATTGAAAAAACTCACAGTTTAGGAAAGACATCTCTCCAAGATAGTTTACAAACCAAAGACTGAGGCTACCAAAACCTGGAAGAAATAAGGAAAAATCTTTCACTAGAGCGTATATTGAAAGCATAGTCCTGAAAACATTGTGAAGTTGGACTTCAGCCTTGAAAACCTTGAGACAATACATTCCTGTTGTTTAAAGCCACCCAGTGTGTGATATTTTGTTATGATTTCTGTTATGGTTAAGTGTGTCATGTTGGCTGGGCCATAACTCTGGTTTGGCCGTTTTGATTTAGTTAACCCCCATGATGAGATGTAATATAGTGCAATCACATCCATGATTTTCTTTTGAGTACTCAATCAGTTGAAAGGGAATTCCCTTGAAATTGTTGCCTACGTTGAATCTATGTAGACATTCTGGCAAAGTTTGATAGTGTTTGGGTTTCTCTGGATCCTACATCTGGCTCGCACCATATGATATCTGGTTCTTGAGACTTGAGTTAGCAGCCTACTGTATCACCTGTCAATCTTGGGATTTGTTAGTCTTTGCAGCCCATATGCCTACAACCTGCCATCTTACTTGCTGATCCTGGATTTGTCAGCCTTTGCAGCCTGTGAGCCAACAGCCTACTGTCTGAACCTGTTACTTTTGGGGTCATCAGTCCCTGTGGCCATGTGAGTTGAAGGAAGCCTCCAGCTTCATGTCTGATCTATAGATTTGGGGCTTGCCTGCCTCTACAACTGTGTGAGCCATTCCTTGAGATAAATCTATCTGTCATATATATATATTTTGTTAAGTGCCATGGAGTCAATTCTGAACCATAGCGACCCTGTATAGGGTTTCTGAGGAGCAGCTGGTGAGCTTGAACCACTAACCTTGCAGTTCAAATGGCTTTGCAGTCTGGTGCATTAACCCACAGTGCCACACCAGGACATATATATATATATATATATAATCAGCTTTGCTGATTCTAGAGAATGTAGCCTAAGTTAGTGGAGAAACTAAGAAACTAAGATATGGGGGAGGGGCTGTCTCCTCCCACACCCATCACAGCCCTTTGTGATGAAACTAGACCTTTATGTCACAATATTGAGGTCACAATTCTCTGCACCTTTATTTAGGCCAGAGCGCACTGGAAGTTCCCAGTTGCCTGAGAGCAGCAGTGCGATTTTGATGATGGAGAATAATTACCTCTTTCCTCTGAAAAGTTTTAGTGCTACCTGGATGAGCTCTAGCTCTACTTTCTGGGTAGTTGAAATAGTCCTGGGCTTCCTGTGTGGAGTGGGACTCTTCTTCCTGTTATTCCCCTACCTCCAGAGTAATCCACCCTTACCACCTCCTAAGAAAAATATAAACATCAAAAAGGTAAGAAACCCTTGGCCTAGCTCGGACAAAGATGGATTCTGACTCCTTTTTCTATTCTTATTTCCATTTTCTGTATCAAGTTGAGAGACTCCTGAGATGAGAAACCTCAGGAAAGAATAGACTATCAGTCTACTCAGAATAGTCAAGCAGGGCAGGAGCTAGAATGGGCACTTCTGATGAACTCAGCCCATTTGCTGGTTTGGTAGAATGCTCCATGGAAAACCCCAAACACATTGCCTCTGTTCAATGACTGGATTCCTAAATGTTCAGGAGGCCAGAGCCCTCAGCAATGGATTATCAGTTACCTTCCCATCACAGGTGTCTCTCTGGACCAGGCCTGATTGTTGAAGCAGGGCTGAACCTAGGGGTCACAGGGCTGAACCTAGGGGCCTCTGACCAGGGACTGGAGTCCAGATCTGGCCTTGGGAAGTAGAATCCTACCTGACATAACACAGAAACAGCTGTACTCAGAGAGTCTGCACCCTTCTGGAGCAAAGGAATGGTGACTGAAGAAATGCAGGCTTTATCTCATATAGAAAAATTCTTCATCTGAGTTTTTCAAAGAAGGAAAACAAAACATATTCTTATCTAATGTAAAAATGAATAAAAGGAAGAAACATGTTGTTAAGTGCCCTCGAGTCAGTTCCAACCCATAGCGACTCTTTTATAGGATTTCTGAGTTGTTCCTGGTGAGCTCGAAATGATGCACTGTGGTTCAAACCAACTTTGCAGTCTAGCTCATTAACGCATAGCGCTACACCAGGACTCCAGGAAGAAACATAGAGCTCTATTAATTAAATGTAAAATTTATTAATACAGCATGTTTGGAGTCCTGGTGTGGGGCTGTAGGATAAGCATTGAATTTCAAGGTCAGCAGTTCAAACTCACCAACTGCCCCTCGGAAGCCCTATACAAGGTCCCTATGAGTCGGAACTGACTTGACGGCACTTAGAATTCTGCAGTGTGACACAGAGAGTAAACTGAGAATATAGCGTTCCAGCCCCTCATTCTTTTCTTGTATCTCAGCCTCAAGTGGAGACGAGGAGGGTCAGGAAGAGAAACAAAAGTAAAGCTGTGAAAGGTAAGGTTCTGTTCACGTAACTGTATTCCCAAGAGTTAACGCTGACTGACTTTTCCTGTGTCTAAGGCCCTGCCCTAAGTCCCGGAAGATACCAATTGCTGGAGCTGATATTCCCATATTAGGAAATAACCTGAAAGGGAGGCTTCTGGCAGTGATATCAGAACCCGGATACAGATACGTTTCAGTGACATCAACCATAATTGGCGTCACAATGGTGCCCACTAGGGGGCGGTGTTGAAATGAAATGATTGGATAACTGGTGGATTTAGAGTCAGAACATCCAATTCTAGCTAGGACAAGCTGTTTTAATTTTGCCAAGGCTGATTTCCTGACTCAGATGTCACAGGAAATAAGGGACATGAATGCATTTTGTAAATGAAAAAAGCACATGCTGTTAATAGATTGAATCATGTTCTCCCAAAATATGTGTTGTGAATTCTAACCTCTCTGCCTGGGGTTACAATACCATAGTTCACTCACTTTCCTGTGAAGTTCATAGACCTGGACCTTTACCATAGTAGCCCACTCTCCTAATTTCCAGCTTGTAGAAGTTGCCTGAAAGAATTACATGAAACTGGGAGCCTGATTTCACAGCTGCAAAAGTGAGTAACCTTTCCCCTTCTCTCTTATGTCCCTCCTACCAGGGTCTCCTGTCTGACTCCATGGTTGTAGTGTAACTAGGGCTGGCATAAGAGGGCACCTGTGGGGAGAGACTGTGATGGAAGCCTCTGGGGGAGGGATAGCAGGAGATTGGTGACATCAAGGTGTGGGGTTGCTCTTTGGCTCCTGTCTAAAGCTTGGTCCTCTGTCTTCTGCAGCTACCTGGGAGAGCTCCCTGACAAGGGCAGCTTTCATCAGCCATCATGTCAAGATGCCTCTGATGGGGTGCATAAAAGAGTGCCTGCTGAAGCCCATCAGCCATGTGCGGAGCCCTCAGAAGGCGTTGCTTCCTTGGTGTCTGTGATTCCACAACTGCAAAAGTGAGTAACCTTTCCCCTTCTCTCTTATGTCCCTCCTACCAGGGTCTCCTGTCTGACTCCATGGTTGTAGTGTAACTAGGGCTGGCATAAGAGGGCACCTGTGGGGAAGGACTGTGATGGAAGCTCTTGGGGGAGGGATAGCAGGAGATTGGTGACATCAAGGTGTGGGGTTGCTCTTTGGCTCCTGTCTAAAGCTTGGTCCTCTGTCTTCTGCAGTTGCCTGGGAGAGCTCCCTGACAAGGGCAGCTTTCATCAGCCATCATGTCAAGATGCCTCTGATGGGGTGCATAAAAGAGTGCCTGCTGAAGCCCATCAGCCATGTGCGGAGCCCTCAGAAGGTGTTGCTTCCTTGGTGTCTGTGGTACCCCCTTCCTCTTCTGCAGTTCCTCTAACACAGCCTGCTCAACCTCTGCCCTCTGCCCTTTCACGGGCCCTGATGAACCCCTCCATTTCTGATCTTTCACCCCCACCACTTGCTCTTCCCCCACCACACCTCCCTGGTTCATTTGCCTGTCTTCAACCTCCAGTCCTCTCTACTTCACCACTTCCAGATGCCACTTTGACCCTTTCTCATCGTGATTCAATGGCTATGATGCACCCCTTGAGCCCTCTTGCAAAGAAGCCCTTTCCAGATGACTGCTGGTTTGCTGGTACTACCTCAATGATCACAGGCCTTGACCCCTCAAGCTGTCCCAATTCGACCCTCTCCTGGTGGCAGGTGGCTGCCAAAACCTTGGGCCTTTCCACCATGAAATATTGTGAGTCCCAGCAAGAGCATACTTCCTGCCATGAACAAGAAGCTGCTTTCTGGGGAGGCCATGCAGACAGGAACTTAGAGACTGTAAACCCCATTTTCCCCAACCCAGAAGTCCAGAAACTCCTGGAAATACAAGTCACAAAGAAAGTCAAGTTCAAGATTTGGGAGGAAAAAGACCAAGATGAGTCATTTCCAAATCAAATGAGCTCAGGCTCTCACTTGAATTCTTTGAGTACTATATTAAAATCACTGGGCGATGAGCAGGACACTACAGACTCCCAACCCACCTGGAGCACCAAAGGCAAACCACAGCAGCTGCTTTCATATCAAAAAACCTTACAGAACCACCTACAACAGAAATGCAGCCAGCTCTTCTGGGGTCTCCCTTTCCTGCATAGCGAGTCCTTGGTGGCTACTGTCAGGGTCTCCGGTTCCACACTGGAGCACCCCTCTATTTTATTCAATGCAGTCCCTAATACCTTACCAATTCAAATGCAGACTAAAGTATCTCCTTGCAAGCCCCAGTCCTTGCCACACCCTGTGGCCCAAATTCAACCTTTGATTTTAACCGTATCCCAATGCCAGGCCCCACCTCTGGCTCAGGGTCAAATCCAAGCTCATCTCCCATCCTCACTCCCAGGCCTACCTCCTTCTTTACCCCAGTTTAGGACCTGTGGAGTATCTTGCCCTACAACCCAGAATGAGGCACAATCTCTCATTTCTAGTGAAATTCAATGCCTGCAACAGCCCTTATTGCATAAACAATTAGAAAGTGGGACGGCTTTATCATCTGTGGCCAAAAGATCTCAGGAAACCTTTCATCCTGTAAGTCCCAGCCTTCTCCAAGTTAGTTCGGCCTTCCAGGCCCACAAGTCAGACTCTATCCTTCCTGGGGATTGTATCAGGCCTGAGCTCCGGAAGCAACTGGAGCAACACCTTCGGAAAAGGCTCATGCATCACAAATGGGGTCTGCCCATCAGTATCCAGGGGTTTCTAGAACAGCCTCAAGTGAAATTACCAAGGACACGCCAGGCAAAGGACCAGGATGGACCTTCATGGACCTCGGTACATACAGGTGAAAGCATCAAGGATGTAGAGAAGATGAGATCCATGCACCCGGGAAGATCTAAACACTCAGGAAGTTTCCATGTGCGTGGCCTGGCAAATTTCCAGCGAGGTAGGGATCTGGGGAAAGATCTGGGGAAGGTCCCAAAATATGATATACCCCAGAGTTCAGAAAATGCTCCAGAGAAGGTTCTGGAAGCAGACTGTAAAAAGGAATCAAAAAATGATTTGCTAAAGTACGCAGAGAGTAACTCAGAAAATTGTGCTTTAATGGTGCCCCACAGGAAACAACTAGAAAACACCCTGAAAGTCCACTTGAGCAACAAGTTGGGGCAGATTGTCAAGGATTGCATCCCTGTGAGTGTACATCACTCTTGGCTTTCTGTCAACCATACTTTGCCTAAGTCTGACACTTACACAAAAACTCAAAATGTGGTGTCATCAGAGAGTCAGGCATACAGTGTAAACAGCATCCAGGAAATTTCCTTTTTCAGTCCAGACACTAGACAGGTTCTGGAAGCACATATTGTAAAGTATCAAGTGAAGCACAGATGGAGTCTACCACTCAAAGTCCTTAAGACTATAAATTTTTTTAAGGCAAGAAAGGACAAGTCATTACTATTGCTGCAGTCTACATTTCAATCTTCAGTCACCCATGAATCTTGGACTGACTCAAGAGCTGAAGCTGCCAAGTTCAAGGAAGAAAACCTTCAAGCAAGCTGTGAAGAGAGGATGACAGCAAAAAAATCAGTGCCCACCTCGGAGAGTCATCTCCCTGCCTCCTTACCTGCAGGTGAGGAAGGCCAGAGAAC